TATATACATACCTAGTACATATAAAAATATAGCGTATATAAATATATATATAATTATATATATAACTGGAGCACTCCGGGCCAGTGACTCCAGTGGCTCCAACAGATCCCGGAAACATCATCAGAAGCCTCAGTCCAGAAGAGCGCGTACCTAGGAAGAACTGCGCAGAACCCTCCAAACTGCCCAGGCCCCTGGTAGAGGACCCGAGCCTTGAGATGACACAGATACAACCCCAAGAGGGTGAAGAGGGAAGTTTTTATTTTATTTTTTACATTATATAATAGTCATAGATTAAAAGAAGTACTCCTTAAAGTAGCCCCTTCACTTAAGTAAATGTACTAAAAGTATCGCAGTCAAGTTGATGTTAATATTTAAGATAACACTGGGAGTGGTTACTTATACCCACTATATGACAAGAGACTACTTATGCTGTATACATGTTGTTGCATGCAAGTTAAGTTGCGTATTGATCAGTAATGTGTTGTGTTAAAGGTGCAGTGTGTCAACTTTTAGGAGGTTCATTCTAGAAGATTGTTACTGACTGCTGGTTCTTTAGTGTTGTTTCTGTGGTTTTCCAACTGTTGTTAAAAGCACTTTGTAAAAGGTGCTATTATGGATAAAGTATTATAAAAAGTACAATAAATACATTCTTTTATTACAGAGTATATATCTGTAGTAATGTGCTGTGTTTTTGAGCAGAGAAGCTGCTTCCTGTCTCTCATTTCTAGTGCTGCTGGCCGCGGTATTTTATTTCATTTTACTCTTCACATCCTGTGATACCTGAAAAATGTGAGTCATGCATTTTTTCTCTATCCACTTTGCTGCGTATGCATTTGGAATTACCATTGTGGGACTTTAAGGAATATCTTAATCTTATCTTATGGCAAGCCCATTTTACCCGGCAGTATTGATATTATAGGCCTACATGAAGAATTTGCTACTCACAGAAAGGACATTTTCTTAATTTGTGTCTTTTTGATAATAAAGTTGTGTTGATGTGAAAAATGTGCTTAAATATTGAAGTGTGACATCAAGAAAAGTAAGCAACAAAAAACCAACCAAATTCTTTATTCTAACCACGACTTGTGAACGTTATAAGAGAAGACAATGAACAATTCAAAACCTAACACGAGGAAGAAATAAAACACCACAAAGAAAGAAGGAGAATAGACTATCAATAAGTGAATAAAATTAATTATTAATTACACATACTTTATTTTCTGCATGTTTCATGATGCGCAGACATTGTGATGGATGTAACAGAAGGCCTTCTATAACTGTACTGAAGTAAAGTGAATGGGAACCATCCTAGTTTTCCACCAACTGATATTAATATCTATATTATCTTAATAACGACTATATTATTGTTTATTACTGAACGTTTTTCACTTATTCAAACCCATTTTTTACCCACAACTTTAGGTCAAATTAACCTATTAGACTGTATATATAACATATATAACATATAATTAATACAATGATTATATAACTGACTGTAAAATCTTGATCTGAAAAATAGCTTTTAGACATAAAAAGCAGAACATTTGTCTCTTGAGTTGTTGTGAGTAGAAGTAAAATGTGCCTTTAAAGTAAATGTGCAGTAAATGACTGTCTGTATTAAACTTTTATGCGTTTCTTTCTGCAAAAACTTTGTATTTTTTGTCTTCATAAGGAAACTGTAGAGCAAACAAAATACTATAAGTTCCCTCTTATCTTCCCCAAGGGAGGGAAAAAGTAAAAGTCTTTTCTAAGGAATTACAATATTCAAAAAAAGGCTGCTGACGAGTGGGAGTGAACATCTGGAGAGAGGTGGGGAGATCAACTCTGCTATCTGATCTGTGTGTGCAGGTCAAGTATAGAAAGAGAGTGAGAGCACACAGAGACCCGCACACAGCTCAGATCTGCAGCAGCATGCTCCTGCACACTCTACACAGAGAGGACTAGACCACTTGTGATTCCTGCTCAAGTTCAAGGCTTTTTGTGTGTCTCTTCAAAATCCTTTTTGTTTAAAACACCTCCACACAACAACAAGCAACTTCCTTCTCATTTTCCTGCCGTGGATGAGCGCAAGAAGCGTGGATGATTATGTAAGTAGTTCACCGTGGAGGGGACCGAGGGTTTATTGCATTTACATGGTTACACTGTCACAATGAAACATGGAGTTTAGTAAAAAAAACAAAAAAGTCACATTTGCTACATTTTTTGTCGCTTTTTGTGGCGCCAAACTCGCTGTTTGTTTGTCATAATGTAAAAAGTGCACAGCTCGGTTCCTTCTTGCACATGTGCACGCTCCATGCGTTAAAACCTGATTATGTTTCTCCTGCAACGATTAGTTCAAATAACCACCATGCATTCGGGTTTATATAAAAGCATTTATGACAGTATTCGTGCAGTAATCCTGGAAGAATCTCAAGAGTTTTCTCGTAGCTGTCGCTGCAAAGTTGTGCGGGATTTATCGACTTGGTGGCGGATATTTTACTTTATAGTCTCTTGCTGTTTAATATTATTCCTGCAAGGACTCCAGCGTCGCTTCTGGCGGAGGGTGTTGAGTTTAAAGGCGATTTACGGTGCTCAAACATCGGTGGTATAATGCTGTTATTACGACTTCAAACTGTGTCTTTGCTGGTGAAAAGTGAACAGTGATTTGTTTTTTATAAGCCCCTGTGGTGTTCCTGCAGGGCTACCTGTGGAGGGATGTTAGATCTGGTTTAACTGTACTGGGGTTTCTTTTTTTTTTTACGGTTTCCTGGTTGTGGCTGAGCCCCGGTGAACGTGTACTGACGGTGGTTTACCGGTTGAACTTCCTCATAGGATACACTCGACAGCCCATGCTCCAAAAATACCAAATAAGTTAACGTGCTCTCATTTTTTTTGTTTTTAGGGCAACTTTTTGGTGCATTTTATAACGTTTTTATCGCGAAAAGTAGTAAAAAAGTGTTTACACTCCAAAAAAGGAGACAATTTCTGCCACATCTGTCTCTTATTTAGGTTTATTTAAATACTAAATGTCGATATCTGGACTAAGACTTAATTCAAAGCCCCACACCACTCAGAAATATGTTTTTCTGTTTGCTCCTACAGTTGGATGTTTCACTGTTGGATTGTTTCATCACATTCATGTGCTGAAAGTTTCTCTGAGTTCATTGAAAAGCAGATTTTTTTTTTAAGGGGGCGGGGCCTATGAGCATGATTTATGACATCACAAATTGTTTCAAATACACATTTATAAGGCTTTTAATGAGGTACAGGACATTTTAAGGATTTTAATGTAAAAAATAAGGTTAATTAATCATTTAGTGTTTAAAGTGACAGAAGATAGTTTTAGAAGATTAAATCAAAACGTCTGTCTGTCCAAAATGACGCCTTCAGATGTCTCGATTTATCATCAGCACAAAACACACATATTACATTCAGTTTAAACCTTTGAAGAAGATAAAGACGTTGTGACTCAACAGCAGACAAAAGGTCTTGTTAAAATTGTGTCTTTTGTAGTGTAACATTAATATTTGTGGGACTTTACAGGAGTTTATGTGCCTTTTTATTAACCACGTGCAGTCACAGTATATTTTTAAACCAGGATCATACATGAATATGTTCTCTGGGTAGTTTTTTATATATTTTGTTACGTTTGTTTGTTATGTTACAACTTTTGTTGGACGATATATTGTCCCAGATATAATTGCGATAAATGATATTATTGTAGTTTAAGACCATTTTAAGCTACTGATGGAGTTAACATACTGATGGCGTCATATAAGTATGAATCTATGGTGGCATCACCCATTACTTTTTAAGTTTGGCGTTATGGTCGTCGCCATGATGGTTTGGTGGAGACAGCGGAGGTGAAGCTGCTCAGTGTCAACTCATCCGTAGCAGTGTGATCATGGAAACGCTGATTTTTAAATAATGAAACTGGCAAAGAAAGCGTGTTAAATGTGGATCGGTACTGATCATGTCTTTCTCTGTAGCGTACATCGCCACGTTTGTCAGAAACTCTCCTCTGATCCTCGTCAATGAACCACTTGAGCGTTTGTTTAGCGGAGAAACTTTGGCATCAATGAATCACTGGTGATGCTTGAAGCTCAATCAGTCACATAAGTCCCATGAAACAAGCCTCACTGCCTTGATATCATCTTTCCACCATCATCAGTGGATTTTATACACAGTAAAGTTAGTTGTATGTAGCTGTAATGTGAAAATACAACAGATTATTCCACTACTACTCATTTAATCTCTAATCTAGTGGTTTTTTACAGTTTGTATGTTGTTCGTCCAGGTTGCTGCTGAGTGGACGATATACTGTATGAGCCTGTGTGCCTTCAGAGTTCACGCTGTACAATAGGCAACAAAGTAGACAATGTATAAAGTGAAGGGCTCGATCTGAGCTGGAAGGGGCCATAAAGTACATGACAGACAAGGAATGCAGCCCCCAGAGAGAGACCCCGAGGAGCTGAACCCCCTTTAACACACACACACACACACACACACACTCATGTTCGAACCCTTTGGTGAGTGAACAATCCCCTCTTGCAATGCGGTCCCTAATCTCTAGCCACCAGACACAACTTTGATGTGAACCCCCCCCCCCCTCCTTGTCCTCCATGTCCCCTTTTCGTGGGCCCCTCACTCGCTGCCCTCCATCCTTCCTCGGTTCTTGTAAGTCAGCCTCGCTTCCAGCTCTTCTGGAGCTGAAACTGCAAAAGATACAGTTATGAACACCTTTAATGCAAGGATCCAGAGCCAGAGTGGATACACACAATGTTATTACTTACTATAATGGCTACGAGGTAAAGGTAATGTTACAAAACGTTAACATTTATTTCAGTATGTAGCATGGACTTGGCATGGGCTTTTTTCCCCTTTATTTCGATATATATATTGTACAATTTAACATGGATGGCTAGATTGTGAATTTAATACCTGATAAATAAAGGATAAACAGAGGCACCCGAAAGCAAGTCAGTGTAGCATCAAAATTATTTTGAAGCTGTTTTAAGATAGAAAAGTTACATAATGTCGCTTTAAATATCAAAACTATCAAAATTATTTTAATTTAATAAAGATGGAACATTAAAGTCCTTATTTCCCCAACTAATATGAGTTTTTAATGTGAACTTAATATTTCATCTGTTAATTTATACTTTTATATATTTATCTTTTTTGTTTTAAGAGCAGTTTGACGAGTGAAGCCACTGATGCATAATTACACATTTTATACATAGAGACTTACAAACAAGTGTAGAAGGAAGAGTGAGACATCTGTACAGTACAAGAGCTTAATGCCAATGTTGAAATGAAGAGGTGTTTCTTTTCTTCAGCCTACCTCATCTAAGCCAAACGTGCCACAATGAGAAACTACTCCAGACCTGAAGGCGGGCTAAACCAAAGCTTTTAGAAATAGAAGGTTGGTGGTTTTGGTCGGCTGTGTTGGGTGTAGGTGAAAGGTCGAAGACGTTGGGAGTCAAAGGGGGGGGGGTGTCAGCAGCCTGGTTGACTGATGAACTCGATCACCTGTATGTTGTGTGGCGAAGGGAGAGTCCCTCACTGATTAGTATGTATTGATGTCAGGACGGTTTTTGTCAGAGGTCACCTGCCTCTGCATGCACTGACTCACTTCCAGATATAGATCTGTTCGTACCCTGTGGCAGACTAACCTTCTTTTTAGGGACAAGAAGCCTTTAATCACAACATAAAACCGTTACACTTTAAGGTTAAGACTTGATTTAATCCACCCAGGTTTCCATGTCCACGTGGCTGCGAGGATTTATGTTTATGTGTGGGTTCGTGTGTGGGCCGTCCTCGTGTGGTAAAAGCTGGTTGGTGTACATGTGGGACAATATTTTATGTCATTATTATTATCACAATAATCATCTAAATATACTTATAATTCTTAAAATGACGTGAAAAACCAGAATCACTTTCAGGGAATCAACACAAGACTGTACATCAGTGAGTGTGACAGATTTTTAAGTCATGATTTTCCTGATGAATGAATAATGTTTCCCCATCCACCTTTGACTCTTTTGACCCCAGGGTGCTGTTTGTCTTCTGCTGTCTATGTAACCACTTAATGTGTCAGAAAACGTCTCTGCCGCTCATTTAATAGTGAACACAATGGTCTTATCATGACAACCAACGTGTTTTATGCATCTGGAAACCAGTTTGGAAAGTAACCCTAGCATCATTTAGAGGCTCCCAGTGGGGATATTCAGTTGATTGTGTAATGCTGAATGCTTTTAGTGCTGCAGCTAACCAATCTTTTATTATTGATTAATCTTATTTTGGTATTTATCATGATTTGGCTTCTGTTGTCTAAAACCTGATCCTCACATTGGAAAAAAGTTTGTTTTTTGGCTGTTGCTATTTCATTTATTGTACGGTCGACTTATCGATTAGTTGTTTCAACATTATGTCTGTTAAACACCAAATGACTAGAAAAATGTAAACCGTTGTAGTAAGTAGTAGTAAGTTGTATATATATAAAAAAACTCATTCTGATTTTGTACACACAGACTCTGCGATATAAGGGAGATAATCTTACTGCATATTTAGACCTTTTTTTCCAAGCATGTATTGAACAGAGTCACTCACCTTGTCTCCCAACTGGAAGATTATCAAAACCTGTTTGGGCAGCACTACCTGTGTGAATTTTTGTTATCGTGAATAGACCTAATCCTATTTGAAGTAATTTGATCTTGTTTTAACACTTCTGGTAGTTGAACCTCTTGATATATAATCAGGTGAAAAGAAAGTTCATATTTAAAATGATTTGAATGTGATTACAAAGCTATTGACCTGCACCTCCTTTAAACTTAAAACCTAAACACACACACACACACACACACATATATATATACCGTATCCCTTCACGTGCACACACTTACATTAAAATATGCGTTCGTGTGCACCAAAGGAATGTATAAATTATGCATGTACAAACGCAGGCACATTCACTTATTCCTCTTACTCCCTCCCATTCTTAAACACACACACACACCCTGACAGGCCTGTGTATCTGTTTACCTCAGGTTTGTATGGGCATGTCAGATCTGCTCCTACACACTCATGGAGAACTGGAGAGGCCAGCGTTGTCCTCTCCTTACCCAGCCTTTCTCTCTCTTTTTCCTTATAACTGTCCTCCCACGTGCGAGCAGTGTGACGTAGATTGACATTCAGCCAAACTCTGTTCAATAGTTACATGCTAGGAAGTTAGCGTCTTAGCTAACAAGTGAAAACTATGAAGTTTACAGAACCACCATGTGCAGAGATCTAGGGATGTACCAATACTTACATTTGGGAATATAATAATAGTAATTTTCCTGCAGGACACAAGTTGTACTTCACTGTAAAGTCCATTGTCAGTGTCTGGACCAGGAATTGACTTCCTGAGTATTAGTGATGTCACAAATCATGCCCATAGGCCCCACCCCTTAGAAATCAGATTTTCAGTGAGCTCAGAGAAACTTCCACTTTCAGCAGATGAATGTAAAAACATCTTTCTAGTGTCCAGCTGCAGGTGGAGATTTTGAAACTGAGGATATTGAAGGATTGTGAGTCCAATTGTATTGAATCGTGAGTTTAGTGTATCATTAAATCCCAACAGTAGACACTGTAACACAGGCATCAATTAGTGGAGATCAGAGAGATATTTTATGCACTTTTCAACAAGTCCATTTTGAATCATTCTGCAGTGAAACATTCAGGAGATAAAAATGTGATTTTCAGATTAATCCATTGCCATCTTCTTTTAATTCAGTGTTTGTTTTAAGAAGAAAAGCTGTTTTTATGTTGATTTTTCTATCACTTTCACTCTTATCTTTCGCTCCCTCATGCTCAACTGACCTTCTGTCATGCCCGGTTGATACTGGTCTTACTCTGCTGGTGCCAGAAGTTGTTTCTGTCCATTGTGAAATCACCATTGAACTTACACATGCTGGTACGAAAGAACATGCTCTACAGACGCTGCTGTTGTTTTTCCATTTACACATGTTGCTTTTCTGGGAAGCTGATCTGAGTTTTTGCAGCAGTTGAGTAGAATTAGGTTCGAAGTGGACTTGCTCTTGTGGTTGGATGGAATGGAAATCAGGATATTGAACGTGCGTCTGACTTCTGTGCTGGTAGTGGCTCTTGTTACTGTTAAAATAAACAGATGGTGTTATTCTACTGACCGATTATCAGGCAGATACCTGCACTTATGTGGCCGATAAACAAGAAATGTCTGCAGAGACATCTATTCTCCCGCCCTAAATGAAAGCAAATATGATCTAATGCTGATACTGTCTAGTGTTATATATATAATATGTTATATAACATATAGAATAATGGAGTTAATTGACGTTGCTTCTAACATACTGTACCCCACTCTCATGTTCATAAACCAATGTATATTTCCATCTAAAACAACATAGTTATAGTTATCCAGTAAGATAACTATAACTATAACTATATAACTATAAGATAACTATTTGTATTAGATTGTAATGTGCATGGAATAATGGAATTATACATTACTTTTCTTTGTTTTAATATTGGCATTATGTATCAGCAATCAGCTGGCATCTGCAAGTGAAAAACCCATATTGGTTGACCATTGCTTCAGATCTCCTCGTGCTGTAAAGGCATTGGTTCTAGTCTCCAAGCTAGTTGAAGTGCAGAATCCCCCTCACAAGACGATGCTCTGATATTGACTCTATTTATAATCTGGTTTGTATTTATATCTTTTGCAGACGCATCAGCAAAAAGCAAAGTTTTTATTTAAGTTTTGTTGTTTGTGTCTCATCCAGGTTTGAAAAAGAGTCAGGACAGACACTGGACCAGTCGACCGCAACGGCGATGCCTTCCAACAAATACTCCGCTACCATCATGGAGGAGAGCAACAACATGACCGCCACTGTGAGTCTCACACACACACATACCTACACACACATACAACCACACACACCCGAACCACCAGTTCCAACAAACCAGCCAGGAGAGGTGCAACAGAGTAGACCATTCTCTTTTTGTATGGGAGTAAGGGAGTTAAAAAGCCAAAATCAGTTACAAATACCACAGCATTCTCATTAACACACACACGACACACACACCAACAACCACACATCACACACACACACACAACACTCCCAACACCTGTCCTGCTGAAGCCCAGCTGTGGTTTAAAAGACTGTGTGTATCAATGCCAAGGCAGATGCCCGGACAAGAGTGCCAGCATGTTATATGAGTCTAATTGAGAATGCATGTTGGCTGTGAGGGTGTATGCATGTGCCCCCCCCCCCCCCCCCCCAACCAGCACACAACACCAACACAACAACACACACACACACACCACAGCTGCATCTACACAAAGAGGAAACGGGAAATGCATGATAGATGGAAAGGATGGAGGCAGCAAAGGAGAGAGGGAGGAAGGAGAGGAAGCAAGGAAAGAAGGATGGAAGGATGGAGGACATTAACGCGGCACACTGGCGTCTTTATATTCTCCGAAAAATTGTGTTCACTTCAAGTATTTCGAGGAGACGCACGCACGCGCGCGCACACACACACACACAATTTCCTTTCACAATCAGTACACACACTTTGTTTCACATGTACCCACGCACACACACTTTCACTCTCACACACACGTGCGTTTAATGGAGCTCCTGTCGTCCGTTACTACTTCTTCCTCTTTTTCATTCTCGTATATCACTCCGTCTGAGAGGAACACTTCCTTCCCTCCGCCATCTGCTTCCCCCCCACCCCTCACCGTCTCCACTTTCTCTTTTGCTCATTTGGCTCCTCATTCTCTCCATCTGTCTCAATTTTCTTCTTATCATCACTACTTTAATCCCCCCCACTTCTGTTTGTTGTTTGCGTGTCTCCATGTTAACGGCTTAGCTCCCGTCTCGTCACGTGTGACATGAAGGCTGGAGTGTGGAGGTATTCGCTTCAAGTTTAGACATCTTAGCGGCAGGCGGGTAACTACTTACGTACGCTAAAGTTTGCACTTAAAGGTACATGATCTGGTGGCTGATTTCATCCAGAACACTTCCTGAGCGAGGAGTGCAGATAGTTTTCATATGTTTCTCTACCTGCTGGCAGGCAGAGTGGGTGTGAAGGTCCCAACACACAGGAAAGGTGCAGGATTGAAGAGAAAGTGGATTACCGCAGAAGGCTTAGATGAGTTAACTCTTTACGTGTGGCACAGCAGGAGCAAAAAAGTATCAAAATACTACAAATCTGAATGAAAGTGCTTCAATTATGAGATTGCTGAAGTGTAGTTTAAAGTAAGTTACCTAGATATAACAATAAGATTCAATATCAGCCTGTTCTGTAGTCACGTTCATGCACGATTGGTTGTGAGCTAAAATATGATGGCATGATAGCAAAGGGAGGTAAAATTAATGATTCAAAGAGTCTGCAATCATGTCTCCAAACGGGAACTATTGAGAGAACTGTTTAACCTTCTCAGTAGGAATAAACCTGCCTCCTGTTTGTAGACTCAGTCGTAATGTTAGTTCTTGCTGAGTGTAATATTTTCTGGAAATGAGAAAGTAATGATTTAAAGATCTAAATCTCAACGTTTACAGATAGATTGCATGTTTGTTACTTAGCTAAACAACTACATGAATGTTTGCACATTGCTCTTAGCATATACAAAAGAGAGAGAGAGGAAACAGACATACAAGATTTGTTAAGAGATTTGTTCAACGCTGAGCTCAACAAATTTGGTATTATACCATCTTGGCACTGTACTCAAAATTAAACCAACTATTAAAGCCCAATTATAGCTCTCCCAAATACAGATACAGTTAGTTTGGCGGCATATTATTCCACTGTGATACATAACACCTTTAATCTTATTTATTCTCAGAGAAGAAGAGAAGATGGCTCAGAAGAAGAGCGTGACATTTAAGGAGAAAAATAGACCTGAAACAGTGGTGCTGGGTTTGGCTGAGCCTCTTCTTTCATTCTCTGGTTTGGTTTACTGTCCAGTCAGAAGCAGTATTTTTGGACTCAGAAAGGTGTTTGGCTTCTGGGGTGGTTTGGGGTCAGATATAAATACAGGCCTGAGTTAGGCAGACGAAGTCACAGAGGACTCATTCTTAGTTTGAGCAGCAGTTTGAGTGCAGAGAGAGAAGACACAGCCTGAACGTGAAAGATGGTGTCTGGAGACTATTTGTGGGTAAATTAAAGTAAATAAAACTTTGGTTTGGAAAGGAGTTTTATCCTGATGATCGGCTACAGCTTAAACTTTACTGTGACTTCCTCTTTAATGGACAGCAGTCGTCTAAAAAACCTTTTCTGAATTAGATTACTTTTGATAGAATATGAGGCCTCTGAGGAAAATGTTATTACTGATTGTTACAGATTTCACGTGAAGTTAATCAAAAGTGGAGTTCAGTATGATGGAAGAGGAAGACTATGTTGATGTCTCAAGTTGTAGTCAAGATGCCCCAGACTCAGTTAATGCTAGGACGATGCCTCAAGTAGAAGTACAGACTACAGTAAGAGTGAAAGTGAAAGTACTCAGTAAAAGAGAAAACATACAAGCTCTAAAATGTCAGCAAAAAAGTAAAGCCAGTTTGTGGCTTTCTGTCCGTGCACGGTGAGTTCACTAACGCATTGTGGATTACTTTTAAATCCCTACATGGCCTGGCTCCACTTTACATGTCAGGACTTTTAACCCCATACCTTTGTTTAAATCCTGGCGAAAGCTCCACGGTTCAGACTTAAAGCAAAGGGGGGTCATGCTTTCTCTGTTTTAGCTCCAAAGCTATGGATCAAAGTCCCACCTCAGTATCAGATCAGCTGAGTTCAAAAAGCTTTTAAAAACACACTACAGACATTTGTATGATATTTTATCATGTTGTCAAATTATGTTTTTATTGTTCTTTTATATTTGTTTTATCTCTGTTTGATTGTTGATATTTCTATTTTATTTTATGGGGTAATTTGGTTTTATATGCTTTCTATCTATTATTATATTACTATTATACTATTATCTCTTATTATTATTATTATT